GGCAGCTCTCAAGCACAAGAGCAAAGCATGCAATAGAAGAAAGGTGTACATTTGTGGGGGTATCTGCACGTGTCCTTTTTCCCTCCAATAAATCCGAATTCTTTTCCTAGTTCCCATGATCTCAGACAGAAGGACACAGTTCAGGACAACAGACACCTCTGAACTTCAGAAACCTGACTGGTGAAGAGAGAGGCTCTGCCAGCGTTGCTGTGAAGAGAGGCTCAGCCCTGCTAGACACCAGGGCACCCCCACAGCCCTGCTCAGAGGGCATCGAGTGGATGGAGCTGCTCACGGAGCAACGTCAACCCCAGAGCCTACAGCAGGACACTGGCACAGGAACACGCAGCAGAAGTCCTCTGCCCACAGGGTTACTGGGCGGCTGTCCCTTCACTCACACCTCTCAGGCCCTCGATGTCACCGTCCCTTGGGGTGCACTCACCTTCTCTTTTGGGCTCCGGCATCAAGTCTCTACATTTTAAAGAGGCTTTGCAACCCTCCCCACAGCTGCAATGCCTGGCTATTCCTCAGAGCTGCTCAAATCCCAGATGGCATCTAGCCACACCTGCTAAGGGTAACAAAGATTTGGTCACGCTTTATCTTATCTAAGCTATGATGACGCTCGTCTTCCTTCTTGGGCAAAGCTCAGCAGCTCTGCACCTGCAAGGAGGGGAGCTGGGCAGAGGTTCACACCAGAGAGGGATGGTTCTGCTGACCTGCCTGCCTGTCCCACCCCGCAAACAACCCGGCATTTAGTCCACAGGCAAGAGTTATGGGGAAAATAAGGCTCAGCAATATTTACACACCTCATGTCACCTTCACCTCAGCTGCTAGCACAGGCATATAGCTCACCTTCCCTAGACACGGTACAGCCACGCCAGTCCTTGCCAATAGATAAGCCGGTTAATTTATTTTATAGGGAGTCAGACCATTTGTCCAGAGAGAATACTTCAACATCCATCATGCTCTCAACCTGCTCACCTGCAGCTTAAATTCCCAGCTGGAGATGAGCTCCGTTCTCTCCTCTTCATTTTACAGAGGGTAAACTGAGGCAGATAAAAGCAGTACTCTTATTCAGAGATGTTTTGCTGAATGTGACAAAGAGGTATTCAGCTACTATAACAGGGAGGGCCACCAAGTTTTCCTGTATTACGCGTTATATCTGCCTTCCCACACCTGCACCTCTCCCAAGCTCCCGCTACACCCAGCCAAGGGCTCACAGCTAGTTTGCAGTCTGCTTCCAACCCTCCTTTTCCAGAGGCTGGGCTCACCTAACTATGCCCAGGTGTAGATGGATTTTTCCCAAAAGTTTTGCTTTCCATAGCCTAAATTACGTTCCACAATTTTATTTTTAACTCCACATAGCTACCAGTCCTACTCCTCCAAAGGTCTGCAGACACTCTGCTTGTTATTCTTTCCAAGAGCTTGAGATAAGAAGCAATAAACAGCTAGATACTGTTACACTGATTGCACAGCTACAACTGGGCTCGACATTTTTCAAGCCTTCACTGCAACGCCTTCATCCAACACAAGGCCAATTCTTTCAAAATGCTGTAGAAAATGTATTAAGAGCTCTCCCCTTATTCATACTCTCACCTCCTCTTCAGAAATGCAGGTTGCCTCAGCCCATGATACATCATCTGCTGTGAACAGCAACATCTCTGCATCTGCCAGGATCTAACCAGCATCACAAGCTCGGGCCAGCCTCACACCCGGTGTTGAGCCACCACATCAGATGTCAGGAGGTTCACAGCTCCCAGTCACATTTTTAGAGGTTTCCTGCCATCCTCAGAACAACACAAACTTTTCCTGCAGGGCCTTCAGGTGTATGTAATCCTCAAACAATCCTTCTGAGGCAGGCAGTCCCTTCCACATAGATGGGGCTGTTAACTGGTGTAGAAAAGTGATACAAAGTCTTGTACCAGCACAGAGATTAAAACTACAGAAGCAGGGGCAAGAGCTCCTCCTCCAGATGACATCTCTGCTAAATTATTTGCAATCACACACTTCACTAGACAGAAAGCAGGGATTTTACAAGCCTCTTTGCTCTCAATCTTATTACTTGAACAGATTTTCCTCCAGTTATGCCAACCAGATGAGAGCAGTGTACCCTTCAGAGCACCGTACCATAGCCCATGTCCTCCAAAACAAATCTACAATTAAAGTCACAGTCTCTAAGCACGCAAGACAGTATTAGTCCCTGCTTTAGTGCTCTGTGACACACAGTTAAAAGAAAAACAGGGCTTCTCAGTCATGCTACCCCAACACAAACGAAGCACAGGAAAGCCCACCATGGCTCCAGACTTCATTTGAAAGCTCACAGTACCACAACCTACACAAAACCCACAACAGCTATTAACCTGATGTTTGGCATTTTTCTCCCAAAGCTCACAGTATCTGTTACTCCACTGAGGTCCTGCAGCCAAGTGAAATACTTCAATTCAATCATTCCTGGCATCTTATACAGACATGCAGAAATCTCCAAGACAATCAGAAATCAGCATGAGAAAGCAAATTAAGAACATAATTAAAAAAACAAACCAAACCAAACCAAAACCAAACCCAAACACTTATGCCATTCCATGGTACTTTTCTTTTTTTAATGTCTAGCTGATGGTTTTTAAAAGCTTAGGGCTGGCAAACCTTGTGAACATATGGCCCAAGAAGAGTGCATTGTGCTCCTTGCCACAGCAGAAGCATGCAGGGAATACTTAGTGGATCCACCCCAGTGGTTCTTGCACAGCTGCAGAGGTCAGGTTTGCTTAGCAAAATGTGGAGTTAGGTCCATGCATAAGGAAATGCTTCTCAGCATCAGCCAAGAAATTAAAGCTTTAGGATGCAGGAGGGGGAAAAGAGAAGGCTGCTAGAAAAATATTAAGAGGGCCAATCAGAACATCAACATAATCTCCCTTTCAAGGTGCTGGGCTATCCACACCTCAAAGGATACACAGTGACAAAGGACAGAAAGCCTTACTAATTGTTGCAATTCTGCTCTTTTGATGTGACAACAAATTGGATCATTCAAGATTCAGATGTTCAAAGTAAACAAAATGTTTCCATCTCAGCCTTTATCTGGACAGCAGGCAAAGGTGTCTGGGGGAAGATGCTGATCTGATGATACATTTGCTACAGCTGGTTTCTCGTCACTGTCTTTAAATCCAAGATGAGCTCCTGCAAGCAGGCAAGGAAAGGTGGGAGGATTTGGTCCCCCACAGCAGCCTTATCAAATCAAAAAGATTTAGACAGCAAGTAATACGTGGGCTATATTATGGAAACCAAACCTAGTTTATTGCACGTAAGGATCAATATCTGCAAAGCTCGCTGACCATGAAGAACACGGTGCACGGAGCTGTGCCCACATCATTTATGTTAGCGCCGATTGTCCTCATCCTACTAGTTTATTCTCCGAGGCTGCTTGTCACGGGTGACAGCAGAACCCCAGCACCGTGTGCTGCTGAAGACAGTCCTGCATGCAGTCCTCCTCTGCAATACAATCTTCAGAGCAGTAGATGGGGGGGGGGGGGGGGGGAGGAGCATGATTCATTAGATGCATCAAACTGGGGTGCGGGGAGAAATTTTCCTATTTGATGGTGACAAAAAAAGCCAAGCAGACTTTCCGCTCAGACAGTTTATACTACCCAACTTAGCTTGCCTCAGCAGATGGACCAAGAGAAGAGTGATGCTCTGGAAAATGAGAATAACATTGTTCACCCAGCAAGGTAGCTTTGGAGAGATTTTATACCGTCTTACGAGGGACCCTAAAATTTTATGCCTCAGGCCTCACATCAGTCTCTGCAGCAGGATGCTCTGGCAAAGAGAGGATTCTTCCATTCCAGCCCACTGCAGTTTCTCAGAACCTCCTCTGGACCACCTGAATTGGCCAGTGAAAGGACAGACTAGACTGTTTATCTGTTTAATCTAGAAAAGCAATTTCTGTAGCCCTCAGGAAGTATAGATATATATATTCACCTCTATATACCTGCTTATATGATCCTCAGAAATAAATACAGCTCTAGAACACAAAAAATAAGATGCATTGCCCCTGAACCTGAGTAAGGCAAGCTTAGAAGTTACCAGCTCTCTGAGAGCCCATGATGCAAACCAGCCATCGTCTCCATCAGAATAAGCAAGGACTCAATGGGTCACATCTAACCAAGCAAACTGTGTTTGGATTATTCTGCCTCCTCAGGATCCTCCTGAGCACGTCCATCTCCCTGTGTCCGAGGCTGGCGATCGCTGGCCTCTTTTCCCCTTGGCTGTTTTCAGGAAGTCCTACAGGAAGGACCAAAGGTTCAACGCACAAGTTCACCAAAGTGCATCCCCATGCACACAGGATGTTACAGAGAAAGACGCTGAAGTCTTAGGAGAGGGAAAGCTCTGGTATTTTTTCCTTCCAAAGAGAAGGGGAAGCAGCAGTAACGCAGCTGCCATAGGGAGCTGCGGCATCTTTACTGTGCAGCTGTCATCTGCACCTGGATCACGGCAAGAAAGAACATTCCCTGAGCAGAGGATGCTGAAAAAAAAAATAAATGAGAAAATAAAAGATCTCCATCCAGGCCCGGCACACAAGACCAATGCCCCTGTACCTCATCCCAAAGGAGCCTGCAGAGTTCAGAGCCACAGAGGAGGGGAGAAGGCGGGAGGGGACAGCAGCTCCCCAGCCCACGCCTCGGGAGCTGGAGAAGGCGGCTTTGCACAGGAGCGGGGATCCTCCATGCCCACCCTTCGCTAGCCAGGGACCACCGGCACCCGGGGGGGGAAGCAGGTACGTCGCTCTGGGCCGGCGAGGACCCCCCGCAGCTCTCCTCTCCCCACAGAGAGGGACCGGGGAGGCCGCCGAGCCGAAGGCACCGCCGCGGCCCTTCGCTCCGAAACGCCCGGCGCCCCGCCGCGGGCCCGGGCCCCTGAGGGGGGTCCTGCCCGCCGGCCTCACAAAATGGCGGTGGGCAGCCGCCCCGCTGAGGGGACCCGCGCGCCACCAGCCCGCCCCTCGCACCGCTTACCTGACCCGGCGGAGGGGCAGCGGCGCGGAGCCGGCACCTGCGGCCGCCCTGCCCCGGGGAGCGGAGCGGAGCGGAGCCCTGCCAGCGCCGGAGGCGGCCCCGGCCCGGAAACGGGCGAGCGGGGAAAGCGGCCGGGCCGGGGCCCCGCCGGCCGCCCCCCCTCCCGCCTCCCGGGGTGGCTCCTGGAGGAAGAGCTCAACTTCAGCGGCTCACGGCACCGCGCTGGGCGGGCTGCCTCTCGCTGTTACGAGAAGGGAGAAAGCTGCTCGCTCCCTCAGCCCCGTGCCATGTTAATCACAGCGCTCGTCCCTGTCCTGGGATACCCCCTAACAACGTACCTTCCTACAGGCTACCGCTGTCAAAAGACTGGAAACAGGGGGAAAAAAAAAAAAAAAAGAGCCAAGCCCCGCAGCGCCTACCGGGCAGCTGCAGTGACAAACGCCAGCCTGCCCGGTGTGAGGGCCCCGGGATCCCGGCCGGCAGCACCCCAGGAGCGACGCCGGCTCCCCCGAACAGCCACGAGCATCTTTCGCCAACTGGTAAACAGAGGTGTAAGAGACAGGGTTGGATTTCCCCCAAGGATACCTCTGAATTGGAGAAGTTTCAAATTTGTGAGCAATTTACCAACCCCTTCGCAGGGGCCAAGCACCTGCAATTCCCACAAAACTTAATGCCTCTTGGAAAGCAGGATCTGCTCCGAAGCTCCCACAAAACACAGGCTAGTATCACCTGGAACGAGGAAGCGGGCCAAAACGCACCATTCTTTACCTCTAGGTCAATGCCCCATTCATCCCATGCTGATGCATGTTTACCCTGAAAGGACATTGAGCAGGATAGGGCCCAGCAGAACAAACCCACAGCATACAATGCGTTCAAAAAATATTTAATAAACCTTTAAATGGCAAGGCAAGCAATCTACCACAGCCAGGTAAATATATTGAGAAAGTTTTTATTAGAAGGTATATTTCTGCCAAAATAAATAGTTACATTTTCTTCAGCAAAACATTAGAAAAAAAAAAAAAAAAACAGGAAAAAAAAAATGCATCAACAAATTAATACTGAACTTTCAAAGTGACTGTGAACACTACTTAGCGACATTGCCGTGCAAATACATGACTTGTGTATGCTATCGCTGGTCTGGTTGCTGCTCTGACACCAATAATTTCCACAGGATCTCCACGTGTGTTGTGTGCTTAAGCATCTTCTCAAACTCAGTGACAGCAGCGGAGCCCCAGGACACCTTTAAGCTCAAAGAGCTGTGCTGGATGCTGTTTTTAAGAGCAAGAGAAAACCCCCAAAGAAAGAGGTATTTATTTCAAAGCGACATTTCCAAATCTTCTGTTTGGAACTGAGGTTTCCCCTCCCCGTGCAGGAGGGCTGATGTGGATCCACGTGCAGCGAGATGGATGGAGTCAGAGCACAGAGCAACGTCCTGCCCGTGCCGAGGGGAGCGCCTACGGCTGCATTCAGAAAGGCAGACACCGCAGGGACCCGGAGGGCAGGCAGGCCAGGGGCCCCTGTAAAGGCTCCGGGTGTGTTTGGCACAAATGAGCTGGCTGACAGGGCAGCCAGGTCCCTTCTCTCCTTGATTTGAGGGGAAGATGGAAATAAAGCTTGAGAAATCTGTTGGCGAGGCCCTCTGGCAACGCTCAGCCCTGCCACCCACCACACCTAGCACCTGTTTAGCTGAAATGGACCCCTCAGGGAAACACACACACACACAGAGCTTTAGGTATCTCTCCCTCTTCTCTCAGAGGAAGGCGTGAATTACTAGATTAATTTTTTTAAATGGACAAAACCACTGGGGAATATGCCATCTAGTACTAGGGACACCCCAGTGCTGGCAGACGGCAGATTCTTTTATTCTCTGGTCTGACTGTTGCAGGTACACAGCCCTCCAAGAAGTTACGAGAAAACAATTCCTAGGTCCTATAGGTAGTGGTCAGAAGTGTTTTCTACCCCTTGAAAATCAGCTTGAAATCAGTATTAGCAGTAGGGCAGGCAGCAAACCAACCCAACATACCACACACAAATTGTGGCTTACAGAGCATGCCATAGATACAGACTGTTGTACACAACATAAAAACTCTACAGTGTTGTACAGGTTTGGGGCTGGTTAGAGACAGAAGTTCAACCATTAGCATTAAAAGCAGCAAGTAGTATCACAGGAAGGAGGAAAAAAAAAAAAAAAAGTGGATTCCTGAACCTTTAATGTGGAAGAGTGGAAATGGCAAGGGCTGGGACTCCTGCAGAGCTCAAGTGAATGCTGTAAGGACAATTGGACATGGACTTAATGATGAACAGAGGTCCAGGAGCCTGACCTCTCAGCCACCATGCACTGGAGAGGAGGCAGGCCCTGGCAACTACCCGCTGGGCTGCCCAGCCACACGATTTGCCAAAGAAGGGACTGACTGCTATACATGATTACCTTGTTCCTATGAACTTGGCAAATATAAGTTAATCAGCAACTGCTACGCAGAAGATAGTGCATGCCACGAGGTACACACAGAACAAAGATTTGAAGAATTCCAGTTAGCACCATCACAATAAACCCCTCCATGTCCAATTCAGAGCCTATCGCGAGGTTTCCAGGGATTTTAAAGAGCGAGGTCTGATCTAGATAAGGCAGACACTGAGTAACAAAAAGCTATTCTTCAAAAGCAGCCACAGCCCCTTCTCTGCATCAGAAGGCAAGATCTTCCCTACTTTCTTAATTCTTTGCAATCTGTGATAAATGAGCAGCAAGAATTTCAAGCAAATGCATGAAGCTTCTCTTCAAGGAAGAGGGGGGTAGTTTGAGGTATTTTTGACAGATCTGCAGTTCCTTTATGAGAGCTTAAATCTGTAAAGCCAACAAGCTATCACACAACAGCCACTGCATCACTTGGGGCATAAACACAGGCAAATGAAGAGTTAATATAGAGTGGTGCTTTCCCAGGATCCGTTCACACCCTGCAAATTAGCATAGGGAAAACAGGAATTTCCTCCCTGAAGAGTTAGACCTTTATATTTAAAGCCAGGCTCTGGTTTGTGGTTACAGTTTGAAGCATACAAAAACTTCTCTTTGGGAGGTTAATATAATAACCTAAAGGACAGATGAGGTGAACTACAAAATGAAACTCAGGCCTTTTACCAGGTACAGTGGTTAGTCTCTTGAAATGCATGGACTAGAACCAGCAAGCCTTCTAGATCAGAGCACTGGGAGACAGTGGCACCAGCCCACTCAGTTCTGATGCAAAAGGAGAACTGAGGAGGATCCAGGGGATAAGGGTGCCAAGCTGCAATTTCTTAGCGTACTCTGTTGCCAAGAGGATTTTGCTTCATAGTTTAGTGGTTTACATAATCACTCAGTAGTTTTACCAGTCCAGGAAGAAGGGATAAAAAAATAGTTGCATCATTTTCTCCACCCATATATCAACACAAACAAGGCAGAGTCAAAAGGGCCAGCAGCTTCTAAGCACAAGACTATCCTTATTCAGCTCTGCCCCTCACAGATGTTTTGCTTTTGGATGAAATGCCTTCATCTCTTGCCACTACATATCTTTATGTTCTTGCCAATTGCTTTGTGTGCGTTAGGGACAAGAGACATGGATCTGGCAAACTAAGCAGCTGCACATGTGCCATTCCCCCAAAGGAGGTAGCCCAAAGCAGTGGAAGAAATCCCACACCAAACCACAAAATAAACACCTTTTCTCAATTCCTGCTCCCACTAATTGACACTAGCTTGTGGCTGGTTCACTTTGTTTAGAGTTATATCCATCTAGCAGTAAGCTTTTTCTGCAGGCTTTAGACAATCACAAGATTGACTTGTTTTATAATCCAATATTCCTGTTCTGGTTTCAGAATCCTCCGTTTTTGTTTGTTTTTTTGTTTTTGTTTTTTTTTTTCCTCTTCCTGTAGTGACTTCCTTGTTCCCTAATTGCCTTAACTATGTGAAGCTTAAGACTAAATCTGACTGCATAAGTGCAGGCCTGCTTCATAAGCTATGCAGGCCTTTGTGTTACATAGGTAGGTTACATCCAGGAAGGGCAGTGGGGTGATACTTGGAGTCACGAGTTCATATTTGCACTGGCATCTCCCAGACAGTCGGTTGCCCGGTCTACTGCCTCCCAGTTTGCAATGGCCACTGCAGAAAAGTCCTGATGCTTATCACAGTCTCCACCACAAACACCCAAACCCATGCCCAGTGCACAGTTGTGCTGGTGGGAAACAGCACCCACCACCTCACCCACACCGACCATGCAGATGCGATCGAGCAGATTCACTACTTTCTCCAGCTATTAGTAGAGCTTCTGGGGTTATTTTCCCTTTCTAAATCAAAGGTGCAAAAGAGAGCCTATTATAAACCCACATATAGGTTACATAATCAGCTTCAGACACCCTGTCCTGCTCCCCAGCAAAGACAGTGTATGTTTGCTTTGGCCAGTTGCATACTGTTTGTGCTAGGAGAGGTAGAAGACGCCTCATGCAGCTAGACACGCTGCAGAAAGAGATACCAGGAGCTGTTTTTGTGTCATAGTGCAAGGACTTTAGCTTAAGTATGTGCAAACCCCACCGGAAGACATGGCTCACCCTCTGAAGAACAGGGAGTCCGTGCTTCTGCACAGCAAGTCACAACCAGACTACCACCTAGAAGGCAGCACTTTACAAGGCAGAATCCTGCCCTGCTACAGACCCGGCAGCTCTGGTGTTCTAAGGAACAAGGCAAAAGTAGCCCCTTCCAAGCGGGCTGCACGTGCACCAACGCTCCTCACTTCACTTCCACTTCTCATGCTCCTGCTGTTGCCAGCTGCCGAGCTGTACCTGCGAGCCACAACGCTGAGACAGGCAAGCTGTGAGGCTGGTATAGCTACGAGCCTAAATCCTTCTCACTCCAAACCCTCAATGTCCAAACTCTTCAAGCCCCAGTTTGGCAGGAGATCCCTTCTGTATCACCTACTTGGTATTTCCTTCAGTTATACGGTCCCTTAAGGAGCAAAGCCTGACCCCTGCCATAGGCAGCCGCTTCCCCAGCACTTGCTGGGACACTCCACCACAAGACGCTCAAAAATAACATGCCCTGCACAATCTCACCTTCCTACAAGCCTTTCACATTGCTTCAGCTGCTAAGCTGATCCCGAGACAGACTGAGCTTTTCCAGGGCAACCCCACACTAATTCCATTCACAGTGACAGGAATGGAGCCTCAAATTCAATGTGTTTCCCTGGAAAAAAAAAAATCTGCCTGAATTACTGCTTTAAAATAAACTCAGTGACTGACTTAACACCTAGAGTTCAAGCTGCAGCAGTTTCATGAGGACAAAAATCAAAAAGGGAGAGACCATGACAACCTGAATCAGGGTAAATACATAAGTTCTCTACATTTCTGCAGTCCCAGTGCAGCCTGCAGCAGAACCAGCTCTGGTTTCCAGTGGGGATGCAGCTAAGGGACAGAGGAAAAGACATGGCTTCAGAAAAAAAGAAAGTCAAGAGATTTGGAAGCCATGAGAAAAACTGGTTTGGCAAGAGGCTACTTCATCCTTCAGCACAAACAGCTAGGGGATGTCAGATGATTTAAGAAAAAGCAAGACTCATGCTCTAAAAAACAAAGGAAGCTAAAAGCTGTATGAGCTCGAGAGCGTCATCTACAATCCTGATTGTTTGGTGGTAAAAAGCAACAGCAATTCAAAGTGCATTATTTGGGAGAGCCCAGCTGGGTCAGCATCAGCCTGGCCACGGGCAAGGGCCAGGCATCAACACAGGTCTAGAGCAAGGTATCAGCCCATGTGTGTCTTTGAACACAGAGATCCCTTGCCTGGCCCAGTGGGCAAGAAATGGCTACTGTCAATTCCACCAGTCTCCATCCCGGGGGGAACCTCCTTTGCAGCATATTCAGGAGCACAGGGCAGCCTGCTGCTGAGGGATGAGACTGGTCCCACCCTACATCCACTCCCCTTCCCACCCACCCTCATCCCTTCACAGCAGCAGGCTCAGAAGAGTGGCAGGCACTCTTTCGCACAGTCTAGAGGTGGAAGCTTTATCTGAAACCCTTCCCGAGGGAAGAGAGAGGCCTGCATGTCCACGTTGATGCACAGTAAGCCCAGCATCAGCTGGCGCTGGTACTCTTCCCACTTCATCATGACATCAGACAGGGAACGGTTGCTTCTCATCCACATAGGCAGGGCTTCACCACAAGCTGGTGTGGAAGAAAGTGGCAAGCTCTGAGGCCCTCCAAGCTCGAGGTGATAGTAAAGCCTGAAAGGCAAACACATGCAAAGAATCAGTACATGGGAAGACTTGAGCAGGTCACCAGACCAGAGCTCCAAAACCACAGAGCTACTTTGTTCTACCACTGACTACACGATCCTAGTCGTAAGTCTGTGTGTGCCCATCCTCCCCCTCACATCTCTTGATTATTCAGACCATGAGCTGTTCTGGGTAAGAATCACACCCTTGTACTAGGATCCAAATCACAACTGGGACCCTCTGCCTACTACTTTAATACAGCTTCCTATTCTCACCCAAGCAACAGAGCCTTGCCTCAGCCTCAAGCCACGACCTAGTGCAGGGATCTAGATCTTGAGGCAGAAAAGGTCATTTGAACGTGCGCACCTCTTGAAAAGACCTTTTAGGGGACCCTGGGCCAGCAAATGCCACACAAGCACCTTTATCTTCTACACAGAGCATGGAACAAGCTATTGTTTACAATATGGAATAGCATATTGTTTTAATTAGATGTACCCCTTCTGCCATAGCAGCTTCATTACAGGGTCTTCCCTGTAATGGGAAGAATGAAGGAGACCATGTACTGAGTCTATCCAACCGTTAACGAAGCCAAGAGACCATGGACAAGATTTGCATTTTACGTTGGACAGTAAATCCTTCTGGTCGATTTGTGCCTGACTTGCTCTTGCTCCAATGGAATAGAGTCTGTAGAAGCCAAAGGTGAAAGGGGAAGTGAAGGGCTCCTCCAGACCAGTGCTGCGGAGGAAAGCAGACATACCTGGCTGAAAGGTGGCTGCCCAGTTTCTTCTTGGCTTTCTTCACAAGATAGTTGCAGATTTCAGTCATCTGTTCTCTCATCCATCTGATATCCTCAGGGATATCTGGGAGCCATTCCAGCAACCTGGGAAAAGACAGGAGACAACCATTAGTTGGGCCACGCAAAGGATGGGATGAAAAGAATGCCAGTTTTGCCTCCTATCACTGGTTACTCATTATTTTTATAACGCGTTAAGAGCCATTTACACTATCGTTTATAGAATTATGGAGGAGAAGCTGTGAAGGTTGAGAACAGCCCAGGGACAACTTATTTTCTTCCCGTATTTTTCATCCACTTTCAGGTTTGGAAAGTGTTTTTCCCCTAAGCCTATCACAAGCTATTTCCTTCTGTAAACTTTTCATAGGGTCCTTCATACCAAGAACAAGTCTGACTAGACCTGTCTTCCCAGCCGTGTAAGTGTAGAGCTGGAAATGTCTGGGACTACTCCACCCCTCACTCCAGAGGGGAACCACCTCTTGTGTGGTTCCTACTCTCATCCCCACACTCCCAGTTCAGAAGTCTCTCTCCAGGGTCCAAAATTTATCACCATTTTCTAGGGCAAGTTCCAGAACACAGCCATCTTCCTTCAAGGTGGAAGTACTGGCTGTAGCTAAATGACACATGAAGGTAGGAAAAGTTTTAGGATTTTTTTTTTTTTTCACGTGTCTGGTAAGTGGCAGGAACTCTTTCCCCAGGAACTCTGGCACTGCAGAGATAGAGAGGATCCTACTTCGTCCATTCATGCTCCACCAGCTACATCAAACACTTGGCTGCACTGGGAAGAACACCGAGTGAACCAGCTTGAAGGCCTACCTGACAGTGAAGGAAACTGCAGACTCCAGAGGCAGCATATAGGGGACCATCATTGCTGTGGCCACACGTATAGGCAGCATGTTGGTGATGCCAGTCAGGAAACTTCTTCTTTCAGCACAAGCTTCCAGAAGAGCTGAAGACAGAAGAGAATATGGCTGAATCCACACCCAGTTGGACTATCCCTTTCCTTGCCATACCCCAGAATATACCTAGCCTGAGGTCTCCCCTCTCCACCTTCCACTTCTTAAGGAATTCTTGTTCAGGGTAGTAATGCTCTGAGCACAGCTGAGAGCAGCAGCATTTAGCTTTATCAGGCTCCCAGAGGAGTGAGCAACAAGATGCCCTCCTCTCCTTACCATGCAGAACACTGTCAAATGAGTCAACCTCTCCCAATTCAGCCTCCCTAGGGCAGGCCACAACTTTATCTAAGAGGCCCCAACTCCACCTAACCATCAGTGGGTGCCAGTTCAGTCCCTGGGTATGGCCAAGCCCAGCCACAAGCAATACCCACGCATCCCAGTAATCCTCTGAAGTGGACCAGATTATCACCAGGAAGATTACCAGGGCTCTCTCCCTTTGGACCAGATTATCACCAGGAAGATTACCTGGATCTCTCCCTTTGGATCATACCTTGGTTCAGTCTGGGAGGCAAGTGTTCAAAGATGTGCTCTTCAACAACAGCAAGGGCAGCATTGTCTTCTAGTTGGTCCTCAGCTTCTGTTTCTTCCTCTTTCTTCTCTCCTGGGGGGGGTTCTATGGCAAGGAGAGGACGGGCAGGACTTGGACGATGAAGGAGACCTGAGAAGAGAAGCCATACCATAAGGATGATACAAACTAGCTGCCCTGCCTTGCCTGGCCTTTAGAATGTTAGTCCTCACTTCACCCTAAACCCCTACAGACAAGCCGAGGTCATACTCAGCCTCTTTAGCTTACATCTACTGTAATGCTTACCACAATGAGTTAGAAACCTTGCTGCTTTAAGATCATCCTCTCTTTCCCCACCAGAAATTCTAACTTTTCCCCTTGAAGTACCACAGGGTGCTGTCTGACAGCGTTTTGTTGCTATAATCTGCCCATCACCAATCTTGCAGGCAAGATTGTCCTCCTGCAGCTTAATCCACAAACGCAGCTGCATGAGTGCTCTTATCCCAGTAAGGTGCACACCACATGGCAAACAAATATGCTTGATCTGCTGTAAACTGACACTAGGTGGCATCAAACACACACTCAAGAGTTGGAAGCAAGGAAGTCCAGGGTTTGCACATAGCAAACCAGTAGTATCAAACTGCCAGGCGCAGCAGGCTGCTGAGAGCACGCCAGCACTCTACACTGCTGTGCCACATTAGACATACCCTGGCTGCACATCAAAAGGAGCAGGGTATTTGCAGGAGCTCCAAATGGCCCTGATGCCTGACAATTGTGTTGGTGTAGCACCGAGCACAGGCTAAGTAGCTTCAACGCTCAGATGTGCCAAAACCGCTGCTCTGGCATCAGAGTGGTTAAAGTCCTTCTGCATTACATGGAAAGGTGTCCACTCCACCCGTGCTCCCTGAAGTGCTAAAACAGACCTATTAATGGAAATTCCATATTCTGATGTCTGAGGCAAAGCTCAATTCCGCCCTTCCACCTTTCATATGCACCACTGACTATCCTCAGAGCCAAGGCACCAAGCCTGGCACAGAAGAGGCAAGTCAGTGCGCCCTACAAACACGCAGTGCCTTACCATTCTTCTTCAGGAAGTGCAGTGCATCCCGATAGCCCTGCTTGCACATATCCCGCAGCACCTGTGGGCAGAGGAAAGCAAGAGCAAGTCATCTGGAGATTGTCTGGCTAAGCAGAGCAAACACCCGGCTCAATGCTGGCTTTAGAGCAGTTTTCATGACTCCTGAGCTATCCCAAGGACAGGTTTCATCCTTGCCAGCTCTACCCAGGCTTTGAGCAGGAATGGGAGGTATAACATGAATACATTGGATAGGGGAATCACAGGATAATGCAGATTGGAAGGGACTCTTGGAATCCTACATAAATACAGGCTTAGAGTTGCAGCCACCTCATCTCCCCATCTAGAGCTGATACTGCTTTGGGCAGCCTTCAGAGTCACTCTGACAAGCAGCCCAGAATACTTCCCAGCAGATGCCAGGAAGGGCCACTGCATTTGCAGGTAAAGACAGCTAAGACTACAGAGGGGGAAGGAAAAAACTTGTCCAAGTAATTCAGCACATGAATGCATGCTCATTATGCCCAAATGCCAGGGCTATCTGAGTCTGCATTTGCTCAGAAGCATGCAAAGCTGTTCGCAGTGCCACCTGCTCCACTGGCACTTTTTAGGAGACAGTCACTGGCTGCAGCCTGGCAGCTCTGTCCTGACCTTAAAACACCCAAGAGCACATTCGTTCTGATGGCTGATACATCCTTGTTTACCAGTGAGCCTGAATTCCTGGCAAACGCTACTCTTGGGATCACAACACGGGAATACTTTCCAAGCAACTGCTACCACCTAAATTCCAGATCTCCCAGCAGCAAAAGAAAACCAAGCCACTTATACAACTTTGTGCAGATGGTAAAGGTTTGCCAAGTCACTGGGTTGATAATGTCAAGGTTAAAAACCAGACAAACAGGAGATACAAAATTAACAGTGTCTGGAATCTTCTGCTAAAGTGTACAGCATAGGCAGCGCCTACACACTGAACCCAAGTCCTGGTGCTGCCAGGAAGCTCACCTGTGGCTCTGGAGGAAACAGGGCCTTTGAGAGGCGGTACAGATTGCGAAGGTTGAACTGGATGCTTGTATTGGTGACTCTCAGCTCATGCATGTTTGTGGAACTGTCCCGTGGACAAATATCACTCTCTCCAGAGAATGGAGACACCGTGATTGTGTTCTTCAGCTCATACCGTGGCAAGTTGTCAGAAATCCCTCCATCAACGTATCTCTGAAATCAAGACAAACGAAGCACTCTTCAGTCTCGTAACTAACCAAGCAGCCTTTTTACTCTTTGTTGCTGTCCAACTTGGGAAGATAACGGAGTACATCCACCAGCACTGGAGGAATCAAAACCAGTGATAGCACAGCTGTGTTGTCTATAACTCTCCTTTTGCTATGTGCCTTTCTTCCTATGGTCAAGTGTGTTGGTCACAAGTGTTCAATGAGAAAGGCATATTCACTTGTGCCACTGCCGACTTACATCTCTCCTATGGTGTTTGATTGCTGGTCAATTAAATAATATGACACACCAACAACCACCCGCAGTACAAATTAGCACTGATCTAAGCTGTCACACTGTGCCACTGTGCCATTTTTCACTTGTGTTTAAAATTAATAAGCTCAGACATGAGTCCCCACTGGCAGAAGGTTTGTTACCCAAGAGTAAAACCAGCTGACTTGTTGCTAGCAGGCTTATCGAGCAGCAATCCCACCACATGCATACACGTTTGGAATCTACTTGCTGTGGTGTGATAACAGCACACAAGGGGGTTGGGTTTCGCTCTTAACAGGCACCCTTTTATCAGAGAATGTTCTGTATCCATGTACCATAAACACATTTGCGTTACCCTTGCAGGAAGGGCAACCCCAGTAGCGTGTACTCAATTCAAAGTATTTGTTGGAGTACCATAATTGCACAAGAAGCTGAGCAAGACAATTCCTATCACAGGGCTTTGGCAGAGTGACATGCAGAAGATAAAAGGAAGGGTCAAGTTGGTCAAGTCAAAAGAGCAGGAAGTTTGAGACCTTTGCAGAGAAACAACTCAAGCTCTTGAGAACCTCAGTTGCAGAAGAGTCCTGCTGATTTTGTATCGGGGTTGATCCTGCCATTTGCTGCCTGGAACCCTTCCCTCTTTGGAGGGCTTCAAACACAGATCATCATACAGGAGATACACAGCCCCATAAGCAGCAGCTGTAAGATCTTTCAGCTCTCTGCTGGGTGAGGAGCTGAGCTGGCAGAGGCAGAACCCAGGCAGAGCACGGAAATGCTGATCAGAAGAGGAGGTGCCCCATTCTGGGTCATGCTTTGCCTTGTCTCACAGGCAGACTGACCACCGACATCAGTCGTCTGCTGCACAATGCCTACAAAAATGCCAACTGCTTTGCCTGGAGAGTGCTTTGCACTCTGTTCTCTCTTGCTCTGGATGGCAGACAGGCAGAGATCTCTTCAAGCAGCTTCTCAGAGCCTGGGGGAACAGTTCATAGGCTCTCAGGCTGAAAGCAGTCAAATTCAGCTGCAGGAATCCAGCTCCCACCAACGTAACAGGGTCAGGGTGGACTGCTGTTCGGGGAAAGCACAGCAGGTTTCTTGGGGGCAAACTAAACCTCGGGGCTACCTCTGCATACAGCCTACAGGTTCAAGGGAGATGGCTTGTGATTACAGTTGTAGGCTACAGCAGCACTAACTCATAGCACAGGGCATTTTGTCCTCATGTCAGGCCTTGTTCACCACAGTATCAAGACAGACATAGAGACTCCTGCACCACCTGAATTTGGGCAGTGAAGGAAGTAGAAGGATGGGATAGATTAAACTCAAGAAGCACACTCTCTCGGAAACAGTAACACTCAGATTGCTTACAGGATACTTCTTAGACAACAGAGGTGCCAAAAATCAATTGAACCCTCACCCCCCTTTTAACATGGACATCAGTTTTCCCTAGGCCAAAAGCATCCATAGCAAACTGTCATTGACATCATCTCCCCAGAGCTGCTCCACGGAAAGCCAGACTGGGCACAGCTAGAGCTGGAGACGTCTGGGTGACTCCCTCTGCAAGGATGAGATCATGGCAGGCTGAGTGGGGAGAGGACATGGCAAAGCAGGCAGCACCCGGTTTGTTTAAAGAAGATGGAGTGAAGTGTTTCAGCCACTTAACTAAAACACTAGTTTTGTGGTAAGGCTGCAGAAGCATGCATTTCCCTGAGGGCGGCAGCACGAGTGCATGGATGCCATTGGAAAGAAGGCTTCACTACAATAAGGCTGCCAGGCAAAGCTTTCTCACTGCGTGGAAATCTAGGAATACACATGCAGACCCTGCTCTCTGGTCCACCATTCCCCAAGCAATGCTGATTATTATTCCTCACTCAAGATCAGCTGCTACTTCTTTGGCTTTGACTGAACCTCCAGCAACCCAAGCCTAACCAACCTCTCTCCGGCTTCCTGCAAAACCCCCAACAGCACAGAGCCACAGGCTGGAACCACCAGCTGCTTGCAGGCATGAGCATCAACAGCTTTTGGAGATGGTTCATGGACTGGGGCAATTTCTGGAGTGCCCAGTTCCACTCCCTTATCGTGTCCTCCTGTGCAGAAGGACCCCTCACTCACAGGAACAGACAATTAGCTTTTTGACCCTCATTAGGGGTTCATCTCACCCATGTGTTACAGACAGCTCACAGCTAGAGTGTGTGTCAACAAGTCAGTTATCAACCCTTCCATTTCTCAGTATCTGAGAATTCTTCTTTTTTCCCTTCCCTCACCCATCTTCATCATCCACTCCATGGAGCTACCAGAGCTCAGAGAAGCGAACACTGAAAAAGATCAGGAGGAAGGCAGAATATGGATTTTACACCTTGCACACAATCATATTGCCTTGAAAACTGGTCCTCAAGCCAGGCGTGTCAGTCTGCCCTGTGGCGAATACAGTCATCACAGGCATGCTAGGAACCATGCAGTCCCATTTCAAAACCTTTTCCCAGGCTCATAACCAACCTAATTTAACCTCTCCCCTCACCAGCCCCCACTTCAGAGACACAAAGAGCCATGATTTTCTGGGGAAGAGGTAGGAATTAATTTCCTCATCTCATATTCCCTCCCGACCTTTGCCCATGAGGAATCTTGACATGAGAAGTCATCCCTCAGCCTGCCAGGGCAGCTGCACATTCCAGAAACCCTGATGTTTTACACAGTTCTGGAATTTTGAGATTTTGCCTGATCCACACTGACCTCAACTAGCCCCAAAGAGGTATCAGGCAAGAGTCACTGCTATGCTCCCACCATCCGTGGGACAAAAACCCTGCCTTGCAGTTGCTGAGCAAATGCCAAACCATTACTGATTCTGCCACTTCTCTGAAGAGCTGGACATCGGACACCTCTCCTAGGTCATTTCCCTGCCCAACGTGCTTGCACAAGACAAAACCAGCCAAGTTGTATATTACGCAGAAGCAAAACTGACCTCACTTTTAGCACACAGGTAGCAGTGGGAACAGATCTGATGCTGTGCTCTGACAGACTGAGGCATATTGGTGAGGTCACTTATGGGAAACCAGGGCACAGATACATTTACAGCAGTTCTCCCTCTCCCTTTTGACTACTCAGGTTGCAAACAAACTGCCTTTTAACGTGTGCATTAACCTGTGAAGCACAAAGGGTGTCCAAGCTCAACTGAGGCCCTTAAGCATGACTGCAATATTCAGAGATGTTCCAGCTCTGAACAGCTTTCAAATGTTTTCATTTCTAACATGAAATGAAACATCAAATGTTTTCATTTCTAACACAGAAGGGAGAAATTGCTCTGGATAGCCTTGGATAGGATGTTAAAGAAAGCTCGAGCAGGCAGCAGAACATTATTCTCAGAGGAAGAATGGGAAGAACTCCACAGAAATGAGGTCTGGTATCAGCATCACTAGTCAAAACCTTGAAGAAAGTGTCAGGCATGTGGGAGAGGGACTACACTCATGATTTCTGCCCTGGACCCAAATTCTTTCCACATGCAGAGGGTTGGAACCTCAGTGATGGACAGCATTGTACTGAACAGCCAGGAGAACCATCTGTTAAGTCAGCCAGCACTTGCTCTGATTGCTATGTATCACTATCACGCTAATCCCTCTAGTCTTTGGGACATTTATAGCCAACTGCAGGCAGCAGCAGAAAGAAAGTACATCCACTGTTGGAAGTTGTTTATTTGAGAATTTCTCGTGCTTCTTCAGGCTGATTGCTGCCAGCAGACCAGCAATAAGTAGAATTGAGTACCAGCCTTTCCGCCTTCTTGTTAATTAGTACCTGATTTAATGAAGGATCATCTTAGAGTCTTACTTACCACTCCACGCAAGGTTGGAGGTATCAGCCCACAGTAGACAGGTATAAAGGTGCTGCAGACACAGGCCTGGGAGGGGAAAGAGATCCTGAATGTAAGAAGCAGATCAAAGTCTACTGAATCTATTACTCTTCACAGAACACTGCACTGGCATGTGCTAACAATTATACTCCACTTCTAAGGACATTTGGAAAACAAGGCAAAACAAAACTGCATGCAGTTCCTGACTAGCCCTCTGCAGCAAGTTTCCATTCACCTGGATCAGTTCCTCCTTGGAATTGAAGTCCGACAGTATCACATTCTCTCCATCAGAGACTCGTGTCAGGGAAATACCCAAACGTCCCGCGGCAACCTCATGCCCGTTCTCTGGCACAGTCTTGGACAGGCAGATCCGAATGATCTTCACCAAGTTAAAAGAGGGGTGGAGCGGGCCCAGGAACCTCTTCCTGGCTTCTTTTGACACTCGAATAATGCTGGCGCCAGCCTCACCTGCAATGAGAGAAAGAAAAATGCACCGTGAAATCCCAGCAAAACCAGCCTTCTGCTTTACAAAAGAAGGCACAGAAAAGCCTCATTCACAGCTTTACTCGGAGGTTTCCCCCATTGTCTGATAACTCAGGATGAGAGGCTATTAGGGGCAGTATTACAGAAGTCATGGAAGTTTGCTGTCTTGACTCTCACACTCTCCCATCACAAAGAGCTATCCTCATCTTACATAAGTTTTGTAAAGTCAAGAAAGATCACATGCATCTGACTAAGGCCTCACACTTTTTCTTAGATGTTGTTTCACTGACCAGTACAGCGCTGGTGAAAACGCAGACTAAACAAAGAAAGCAAGGGAGATGCTTTAACAGCTCTGAGCTTATAGCTAAAACCACTTTAAAGTATCTTCCACTAAAACTTTTCTAGTAAGCATCTTCTTTTCTTCTGACATGAAAAAAGTCACCTGCCTGTAATCAAAAGTGACAGTAAACAGGAATGTCAGCGCTTTCCAGCTTTGCTGTGAATGTCAGCTGCATCTCAGGTGGGCAAGACAGACACTGTGCTCCAGCAGTGAATTAGTGACTCAGTGCATCCTGCAGAGCCTTTGGTGTACCGTCCCTTCCCCGTCCAATTCCACAGCGCTGAACTAGGCCCTGATGGCAAGCAGTACTCACGAAGGCATGCCCGCTTTACCCTTTCACACAGCGACCCAAGCTGGGTTTGGAGGAGACCAGACATCCCATCTGCACAAAAGGGAAGGCATCTGCTAAACCCATTACCTCATGGGCACTAGGAGCCCAATCTGGCAAGAGCGTCAGAGCTCTCCAGTGGGAAGGGGGGGATGGGAGAAAACAAAACAAAAACATCAATCGAAGCCAAACCCTCAGGGCCCAGCACGCTGCCCTTTGCACACACCAACTGCTGCTTCCACAGCATCTCCCAGCCACACTGAGATACAAGACAACAGTTCCTCTAAGTACCAGCCCGATGCACTCCCAAGGGCATCAGGAATATACATGCGAGACAAATAGGAGTGGAGGAATTAAAGAAACCAGGAGAAGAGGCATGCTTTCACAAATTAAGATTTCTCTCCAATTAAACTGAAGTTCAGTTCCTGGAGAAAGATGATAGACTATCAGTTCAAGACAAACGGAAATCCCTATATTTTACTCTCCCACCCAGTCTTGCAATTGCTGAAAGAGGGCAGCAGAATGAAAGGACCCAAGTAAGACACAGGTTAATAAATATCATGAAGATAAGGGCAACTAACTGCCAACACTATGTTGACATATCCCACTCTTTTGCAATACACGTGTGCCAGCAACATGTTTTCCATCACATAACCTGGGAATGTGATTCTGTGCTTAGGAAACCCATCAACAACATTAGCTCAAGCATGCACAGAACTGGACCCTAGAACATAACCAGAAACTCTGGGGTCTGGATTTCAGGCACTGTGAGGTAGCAACTTAGCAGAAAATTCAAGTTTCTTCCTCTGAAGCAGTTTTTAGCACTATAATCCCCGATTTTTGCTCTGTCCTAAAGCGATGTTTAGCAGTCTAATTCTGATCTTAGTTACTCAATTAGCAGTAAGCCACTGAGCCCGGCCTGTTCCAGATCATAGCCACATGGTTCAACATCCTTCCCAACATGAAGTCAGCGTTACATTTTATCAGCAGCATGACATTAGCACTCATAATGCTCCCTAAAATGCCTTCACATCTGACAAGGGGTGGAAGGACACACAAAGAAACTGTAGCAGAGCCAAAACCCAAAGGAATCCCAGCCCAGCACCTTGGCTGCACGACCCCAGGAAACTCCAGTGCACTGAGTGCATAGCAGAGAGCCCCTGGCTTTGCTGAAAAACCCAGTGGGAGGGAAGGTGGGTGTTTAGCATGCAGCTGTGGGGAGACACCCTGTGTGCAAAGGCAATGCTAGGGGGGCATGGGGGCGGGCATCACCCAACGATGCTTTCAGACTTGGCATCTCAGTGTGCTACCAACTGCAATTAAATTGAGCTTATGACTGAGCTAAAATGTGAGCTGGAAGTTTTTTTTTAAGACAAACAAAACAATAAAGTTCCAACTATACCAGGAATTCTGTCCCAGAATTTGAGGGGAGATTTCAGTTGCAGCTGCCTGTTCTATCACCACTTCACAGCCAAGAGGGCAAAATAAGAATTATTGCAAATTAGCAATTTCATTCTTTGAATACTTTCTGGGTATTTTTTGCTGTTTTCAGGGCTTTTTTATACGTGTGTTCATACACGCAGACACACAGGAGCTTCTGACGTACTTCAATTTAAGGCACCTCTGATTCTGTTGAACTTACTGGCTCACTTGCACCAAAGGTGAGTGCAGAACGGCTCTGTGGGAAGAGACAGGCACAGGGTGATCTGCAGCACCACCAGCTTTCCTGGAAATAAGGCTAGCTAAGGGTTCAGCCAGAGGAGTCAGGTTTACATAGCTAGATCCATGACAGATGATAAGCCCTCTTGGAAATGCATTTGGGAGGAGAGAGAGGAGGTGAGAGTGTTTTAATCCCATTACTACCAGAAGTGCTATTCCAGGAAAACCAGCTCAAATTTTGCTTGCAGCCTGCCAGAGGGAGCAGCTGAATGAGAGGTGGTCAGGAGAGATGAGTCCTAGAGGGGTATGCCACAAGCTGTCAATTATTACTAGGGCTAGTCCAGTGCCAATTCTAGTCCACAGAAAGGTTTCCCATAGTTTTTGATGGATATGGTGATTCAGGACACAGGGTCATGTCAAAAAGCTAAATTAAGTTCCTCTTCCTTCATTGAGGTACCTACCAAGGGGCAGAGGCAATCCCTCAGAGCTGGTATTGCTTGCTAGGAAAACATTTCATTCTTCTCCCACCAACTAATTAGTTCAATACTTCACCCTGTACAGATTTACTAAGCTAATATTCCTCTCTTAACATTATATTAATAATGAGGAATATTCAATTTTCATTAGAAAAGTCATTTCCCCCTTCTCCCCTGCCCCCACCACTGTCCTAGTGGGTGTTGTTATACATGAACTGGAGTACTGCAGGGCCATCGTCCTTATCTGAGTTTCAGTTGCGATGACGCAAAGGAGCATCAGACAGTTGTGTCCTGAAACACCCCAACGTGTCCCCTGCCAGACAAGGGAGTCTGGCTGCTCTACCTCTACTGGTTCACCCTGTGATCCTTCTGCAGCAGCTACAAGGGGCAAGTTACTGTTACCCATGGGAAAAGACCCAAAGGCAGCTGCTAGTTTGCATTTTGTTTTTAAGCTATGTCAAACGAGCTCCACATTAGCTAACGGACATAGCAAGGTCATTCCCTTAAAGAACTGGCTTTCACCCCCACTGGCCATGCTCAACTCCAAAATAACCCAGTATCTACTGCCTTGTGTCCCCTAAACTACCCTTCCCTAACCTGCTGCTACTCTGCCTCTGGAAAAGGAGAAGAGATGATCAGTCACCTAAAACTGATGTTAGCCGGGCTGCTGGGAAGACCTTTAACTGCAGCTAAGAGCTCTGAGATGAACCAGAAAGGCTACTTCAAGCCTGTGCAATGCATAAGGATGAAGACCATCCCAAAGGTTAACCGCCCCACGGCAGGAGGGGTGCCAAATGGGGAAGAAGGGCCTCTTCAGACCTGCATCCCCAGTGGCAAGGCTTTGTACCAAGGGCACTGTGAGGCTCTCCTTTTGATGTTAGACCACACTGATACTGTCTGCCAGCCAGCAAAAGGACAGTTGACCCATAAGGTATTTCCAGTGGAAAAAAAAAAAAAAAAAAAAAAAAAACAACAACCATAAGACACAAACAAAAATAGGAGCAGAGCAGGCTGAATAGGGAGACGGGCATTCTGGACATTCCACTCAGCAGCTCCTGTGACTGCAGCTCCCTCTGGAAGAGCTCCATGTCAGCACAAAGATCACCCTCTGCGCCTGGGACATTCCCGCTCTCCGGCTAGCGCAGCAGTAAACAGGATCCAAGCTTAAAGTAAAGGCTCTCCAACACGGATGGAGAACAGAGGACACCATAGGCAGCTGACAGATGGAACGACAGGACCTCCTGTCCCTGCTGGTAGAAGGCACCGGGAGGTGTCACACCAGACTACAGATGCTGTACCTCACCTGGACTACTGGAACAGGCCAGGAACTGTGCAGATCCCCACTAAACCCGCCTCTTATTCAACACCAACAAGAATTCAGATGAACCCCTTCCTACACAGCAACACAGGAGGCACCACCCCGCTCTCCTCAGTCTCATTACCCAGCTAAGGCTCCAGACTGGCCGGCTGCACCAATACCAAAAGCTTTGAAAGGAAGCCAGCTAGCAGAAGGAAGTGCAGGTGCTTTTGACATTCCTCCAGCACCATGAGATCCCAACGCCTTGTTAATTAGAGATGGCTTGACCAAGCTGTTTTGACTCCAAGATTTTCAGGAGAGGAGCCAGCTCCTGGGCACTGTAACCAGGACCTCATTCTGGAGCTGCTTAAGTTCTGCTTAGCTATCTGTTTGAGCGATGTTTGTGGGATACTCAGCACAGATGCTCCCTGCAAGAGTCCCCAGCTACAGTAGCTACAAGCTTCACATTTTGCTTTCAACTCAGGTGGTTGCTGAGCATCACTGGAGTTCTCATGGTTCCCATTGGCAGATCCCAGTCCAAACCTGAATTTAGGAGTAAGATGAGTCAGAAGGAATTTACTAGAATGATCTCAAGGTTAATTTAGCTCACTTGCCTGTCCCTTGCTATTTCAGCTGTTCCTGTACCTCATCCAAGCAAGAGCTAAAAGCCAGTCTCTAGTGATGAACACAGGCTTCAGGAGAGCTGTTCTGTGTTCTTCCTGGGCAGAAATCCCCAAGCTGCTCCAGCTCAGCATGCACAACTCCTGCACCCGCCTCTTCTGAGTACTGAGAGCAAGCAATGCACATGCTTTTCCTGCCCAGCCTCTCCCAGGAGATGATACAGTCCTAACTATAACCACAGTCCTGTCGCCAGCCCAAACATGT